CGAAGAAAATGAACGGAAACTGCAAATAATTGGAATTTTTCTAAGTCCAAGGGGCATAACTCTTTCAAAAATGGTGCGATCGTACCCAAAACAGAACTTGACCTAGATATTCATGTGATATACCTGTATACCAAATTTCATTTCAGTATGTGCAACGGTTATGAAGACTAGAAATATGTCCATAGGACATGAATGCCCCGCCGAGGATATATTAGTAAAGCAACATAAAAATTGTTATTTGTGTAAAATTGATCAGAATATCTTGAATGGTGATGCAGGTGAATTGCTTGTTTGGAAAATATAGGTCAGATCAAGCATCTGAAGCAAGTTTGGTTTTGTCCATCCCTATATGCATCATCCATGCAAGTTTGGTCCAGGTAGGGCATATAGTTACTTGGGAATCAAAATATAGGTCAGATCCAGCATCCGAAGCAAGTCTGGTAGTGTCCATCCCTAGATGCATCATCCATGCAAGTTTGGTTCAGGTAGGGCTTATAGTTACTTGGGAATCAAAATATAGGTCAGATCCAGCATCCGAAGCAAGTCTGGTAGTGTCCATCCCTAGATGCATCATCCTTGCAAGTTTGGTTCAGGTAGGGCTTATAGTTACTTGGGAATCAAAATATAGGTCAGATCCAGCATCCGTAGCAAGTCTGGTAGTGTCCATCCCTAGATGCATCATCCATGCAAGTTTGGTTCAGGTAGGGCTTATAGTTACTTGGGAATCAAAATATAGGTCAGATCCAGCATCCGAAGCAAGTCTGGTAGTGTCCATCCCTAGATGCATCATCCTTGCAAGTTTGGTTCAGGTAGGGCTTATAGTTACTTGGGAATCAAAATATAGGTCAGATCCAGCATCCAAAGCAAGTCTGGTAGTCTCCATCCCTAGATGCATCATCCATGCAAGTTTGGTTCAGGTAGGGCTTATAGTTACATGGGAATCAAAATGTAGGTCAGATCCAGCATCCGAAGCAAGTCTGGTAGTGTCCATCCCTAGATGCATCATCCATGCAAGTTTGGTTCAGGTAGGGTTAATAGTTACTTGGGAATCAAAATATAGGTCAGATCCAGCATCCGAAGCAAGTCTGGTAGTGTCCATCCCTAGATGCATTACCCATGCAAGTTTGGTTCATGTAGGGCTTATAGTTCCTTAGGAATGGACCTGCTCCAAAAACTTTAATCTGGGCACTCACCTGGAAAATGTAGGTCAGATGCAGCATCCGAAGCAAGTCTGGTAATGTTCATCCTGAGATGCATCATCCGTGCAAGTTTGTATCAACATGTGAAGTTTGATAACACCATCTTGAATGGTATGTTTAAAACTGAGCTAAACACTAATTTAAGAAAAGTGAGGTCAAGGTCAAAGGAAAAGTCAAGGTCAAAAAATGTTGATGCAGTTGCATAACTCTCATCAATATCTATCAGCATATGTAGTTTGATGAAGATATCTTGGATAGTTTCTTTGAAACTTAGCTTTGAACAGAGCTAAACGCAAAGTGTGACGGAAGGACAGAAGGATGGAAGACGGACATGACAAACACTATATGCCCCGGCCATTTTCATGGCGGGGCATAAAAATGAATGGAAACTAAATGGACCGACAGACCGACCGACCGACCGAGAGACAGACAGCAGCAAAGCAATATGCCCTCCCTTCTTCGAAAGGGGGGGGGGCATAAGTATTGTCATTATTTTTTGTTTCCTCTCGACAATCATAGCCCTAAATTCACTGAGTCTACATTCCATTGATATGGTAAACCACGCCTCTGCTCCAAATAGGTCACCATTTCTATGGAACTTAAGAGTCGGTGAATTCAGGGCTACGATTGGTCGAGAAGTAAAGCTTGTCCTCTAAATACTGGTTATTCTTACTCTGACCTGTCTGGGATGTCATTCAGCAACGAAGACAGAGATAACGAGTACATTTTACTGGATTGTGCTATATAACAATCAGGGGTATATTGTGGGTATATATATTAGTATATTTATAACCGCTGAAAGAGATAACGACATACGAGGGAATTTAACTCTTCTGTGTTATAACGTGTCGATATCTTTCTATGAAGGAAACGAATTGTGAAACAATAGACCACCTGGCATGTACTTAACTACCACTGACAATGATAGCGGCAGATGGAGAGGATATGTTACTTGTATAATTGCCTTTCTCAATAGAGACGACATGTAAAGCTATAATCTGTCTGAGGTGAACTTCAGCACCATAGATAAAGATAATTACACGGGGAGTGGATAAAGATAAAATGGTATTTGTGTCAATTTGTACAACACATTTGCACACCGGAGTTGACAGAATATTTTGAAAATACTGTTTATTCTGACACTGATCTGTCTGGGATGAACTTCGGTACCACAGGTAAACAAAATAGTGGGAAAAACTGTGCTGCTGTATGCGAATGAGAATTGTTGCTCAATATCCATCCCGTTATGTTAACCACTGGTAATTCTGACGCTGTTTGAGAGTCCCCCGCTTTCACTGATCATGGAGGATACTATTTTCGGTCTGTCTGTAACACATTAGTTTCCACGCGCTGTCGGGAGAATCCTTTGAAGTTATTTTGAGGTCAAGGTTGTAAATGCTTACATTATTTGCAATGTGTACCTTAAGTATGTGTCAAAACAGTGAACAAAACGTAAAGTAATTATTTGTAACGCCATCAAAACGATCAAATAAGCTGAAGGTAATAGAATATTCAGAAGAGCTGATGGCTCGAAATTCCGAGGAGTATGGTGGGGAAAAATTAAACAAGTTACAAAGTATGTTAATTATTTAACCGTTGTGAACTGTGGCCTTTCATATTCATTGAGGATAATAGGAGTGGAGTGCTGGAGAATCTCTATCGGTTTTTTGTACATCTCTGTAAAAAAAAGTGACATGAAAAGACTTTTGCCCGCGGACTTAAAAATTATGGCTTCAAAATGGCGGAAATGAAGGTTATTAAATATAGCGTTGTTACTACTCCAGCACTTCCGATTCGGATAAAAAAAAACAGCCATTTGTAAACAAATATGCAGAAAAGGCTTTTCTGCATCTGCATGCAGACAAAGGGACAAAATTTGGACAGTACTTTAGAATCAGGTACGAAGTTGATGGAAGTAGTAAAAAGATGGAAAAAAAACAGAGAAAGACCGAAAGGGAGGAAAAGAGAGGAGAAAGCGAAAGCCAAAAAAATAAAATGATCTTACAAGAAAAAAATTCCGGATTTTTAAAAAAAAACAAATAGAATGAAAAAGATAATTGGAAAAAAAAATTGTACATGTAAATATGTAAAGGAACGCAACAACATGCTTAGAATAGAATGATCTTAATTGAGTTTTAAGTATCTTATTGTAAACTCCTTCTCATTTCAGAAATGTTCATTTGCCCCCTCACATTTTTGGGGGAAAAAAATCTAGTTTGTTGTTCTGTGGAAGGATGTTCAACTAGAATCGTCATTGTATAGAAAAATATGCTTCCTTTAGGGCTGCATTGCTATATGTCTCTTGTGACACGTCCTGCATCACGTAAATGTTATGGGTTTGAGCCTCGTGCAGCAATTTTAGGCTATAACAAACGCTTTAAAATGTTCGATAGGTGTTTTGGAGAGAACAGGGACTATTCCGGCTTCGACAGACAAAAATATCTGACACTGACCTTTTTCTTGGTGTTGATTTCCAGAATTCAGAGATTCTCATCCTTAATTTTTTCCCTACAAAACTCCGTAATTTTACCATTCACATGTAAACTATCAGTTTGTGTCACGTGATCAGCTTACTTTTCATCATCTTCAACATGGTTCCTTTTGGTTCCTGGTGGAACATAGGGTCTCGGCAACACTTCTCCATCGCACCCTGTTATGGGCAGCCTTTTTCAGTTGTTCCCAGGTATGCCCACATTGCCTGCGGGTAGATGTTAATTTCTCTTCAAAATATGCTGTCGTTAATAGTTTTGCTTTGTAGTGTTAAGGGAATATGACAGGCAACAGGGGTGGGGGCTCCTGCCCCCTCCCCCACCCCTTTCCCGAAAAATAAATTTAACGTGTTGGCCCCCACTTTTTTCTTCAGTATAGATAGAAGGATGATGTAATAGTGTATGCAAAAAATGGTACTGAAAAAAAATGGCATCCCCTCCACCTCCCCCTTTAACACACCAACACTTTTATTGACTCTATCGCCATGGAAACTGGATGGGAGGGTTTCTTGGTGCCTCAACTAAAAATGACGATTACATGTCTATAAAATATATAACTGGACAAACTCTACCTGTAATTATTATATTCCATAATGATCAATATAGGTTATGTTCCATGTTCTCAATCAGATTTGTGAACCCTCGCAATTGTGGACCGTCGAATTATTGATCCTTTGCACCGCGACGAAATTTCATTTAAACGTACACGTTTATCCGCAGACTGAAAGTTTGTTATTCTAATGCATTTAATATTAATAAACCTAACATAAATATGAACAAGACTGTCGTATTACAATACGCCACGTTTTCAGATTTCCTTGTCCCAACGGGTCGTCTTCCGTATTGAAGACTTCTCTTCCTTGTTCTCATTCGAATAACATTTGTACGAGTTGGCTTAACACTATCGCTTCCTCGCGTGATGGGTTGTACTGAAAAGAGTCGAAATGAACGAACGAGAAAGAAGAAGGTACACTTAGGTTCTTATGAGGCCTATTTTCATAGGTCGCAAATTTTTTGCACCAATACTCTCTAGGACATAGACTTTTTAATTATAGTAATATTATCTTTATATCAGCAATACTTTTTGAGATATGAGGTAAGAAAGTTAACATGTACAATATTGACGCTGTCATCCTAATATCAAGGAAAGCTTTTCTCTCAAATATTCATCCTGACAAAGTAAAGCAAAACTTCTTTTGAAATTTATATCTGAGCTGACAATTTACAATTATGCAGTTTTTTAAACAGTATGATCATTATTTGGCTTCCCGTGGTGTTTAATATTCACCGAGCCCAAAGTGGGAGGTACCCTCGTGTGCCCATATTTCGACGGTCTTTCAATGTATTGCAATATTTTATTTTACGTAAACGATAATCAACTAAAATAAATTGAGCGGTAAAATCGTCAATCAAATTGTATTCTTTCCTGTTTAAAGATTTATCCAATTAGCCTTATCTATTTCTATTGGCGATGAGTTTAAAAGAGACATGTAAACAATGGACGCCGCCATTACCGGGTCCTAATTTCGACGGTTACGTCATCGATCGATATTCAAGCCAGTAGAAAGGCCAAGCAAAACAAATTTTTAGTGGAAAACAAATTAGATTTATTTTTCGTTAAATAAGGTAAATTAATAGCAATAATTGTCAATATAATGCTTGATTTCACATTCAGTTTTACTCCTCAATGCAGTGAGGGCAGAGAAATTTGTCATGTAAGCGGACAACCCGTGTACTGCAACAGTACTGCAGGTGTGTCCAGTGCTTACATGGCATCCCATTCCTCATGCCATCACATTGAGCCCATTTGGTGAATATTAAAATATCACTTTTTCGGTTCTCTTCTGGTGTAAACTTTTTACACACACAACAAAGGTCCTTTTCCAATACAACCTCCTCCTCCTCCTCAGTGTCACTGTCTTCCACAACTGGCAATCTAGTTTTCTTCTGTTTTCTTGAACTTGATCCACTTGTGGCTGCCCCTAGTTCTTCATCTGATGCTTTTCTTTTGCGTTTTTCCTTTCCATTTTGTTCATCTTCATGTTGCTTCATTTGATCTATTATGATGTTGTCTGTTATACAGTGTCCAGAGATTATCTTACTCATGGCTTTTCTCTCTTTCTTTTCAGTGACCCCCTCTCTTTTTGCATCCCTGCAGGCTCTTACTTTAGCTTCAAAAAATTCTCTGTCATCATTTTTTTGTTCCTTTTCTCCACTTTTTTCTCTGGTTGTCTCATCCTTTGAACTGTCAGATGTCTCGTTTTCCATGATAAATATCACTGCAGGTTTGAGACTGTCTGGTGGAATTACAGCTCGAGAACATGGGTAAATGCCAGTTTTTCTAAATGCAGCTATCAAGTTTTCTGCAGACATAGCCTTGCCGTACACCTTGCAAACAAGATGACAAATGTTATATCTTGTTACTACAGAGTGTGATTCTCTAGTAAACTTATGACATTCCGCATTGTACATTTTCTGCATAGGTCCGTAACATCCAACATCCAGTGGTTGTAGAATGTGACTGGTATGAGCCGGAAGTATAAATAATATTATATTCCTGTCTCTTGCCCACTGCACAAGTCCCACAGAAGTATGAGACTTGTGCCCGTCCATCAACAGGAGAACCTTCTGGCCCTCCTTGATAGGCACATGCTTCAAAAAATGATCTTCCAGAAACTCACGGAATAGCTTGGAATTAGACCATCCTGTATCAGAGACTCTGCCTACTGCGCCTGGTATTGCGCCTTCCATTAACTCCGGCATCATTCTTTTCCCCGCAAACATAAAAAAAGGAGGAATAGCCGTACCACTCGCACTTCCACAACCAATCACTGTGGTTGTATTGGATTTACCTGCAGTGACTGCTTGTGGTGCAACTTTGTTTCCACAAACCACAAAAGGAGGAGTGTGGTTCTGGGTAAATCCTTTTTCATCTACATTGTAAATGAGATAGGGATTCTTGTCAAAACCATTCTCTGTTATCACTTCTTCCAGTTCTTTGAAATATCTGTCAACAACAGGAAGTGACGAACACCTTGCTCTGACGATTTCCAGACTGCGAGGCTTAAGGACTTTAAGTTCAGGCCACCTGCTCACAAAGCCTCGGAACCACTTAAGAGAAAATGGGTGCTGCCTATCTCTAACACCGCATTGAACCGCATAATCTGACGCTATGTCTACCACCTCTTGGCGTGTGTATCCGTAACCATATTCTGCCATTAACTTCAAGTGTTCAACAATATTATTTTCTTGGAGTGTTTCTAATAGAGGACTCCGCCCACTCTTAATTGTCTCGGGGTCAACATTTCCCAACACGCGATCTCTGAGCGTTGTAATGGGCACACTGTACTGTCTCGCCGCTCCCATAACAGATTTTTTTTCATTTTTTATAGCAAGATATGCATTAGTAAGGGATGTTGGAGAATACAATCTGTATTTAGATGATTTTTTTATAGGATTAGCCTACAAATAAAGTTAAAACAAATACACTTAGCCATTGAGTTTTCATTCAAAATGCGATTAATTTTTTTTCCTTTAATAAAAAAATAGTTCTGATAAACTCAAAATAAAATTGGTTTGGCCTTTTTTTCCATCAACATTGCTATGTAAATTTCATTACTGAATTGTCAGTCTGTGCAGACGACATTATGTCAAGTTATCTATATCAAGCTTATACCAGTAACCAGTTTTCATATTTATATTAAAAAGTGATTTAATGTGAGGCAAACATTTTTTTCGCCTCAAACTATGTGAAATAAATGATTACCTGTTTGAAATGCATTTTTATAGATTTTGCAGGTAATATGATCGTAAGTCTCAAGCGGTACTATGTTTACACAGACCAGCCCGATCTCGCGAGAACGAACGAGATATAAACAAAATAACGAAACCGTCGAAATTCGGACCCTGTCGAATTTAGGACCTTCGACCATAAATATTGTAATCATTTCAAAAGTTGTCAAATCATCATTTTGACTTAAAACCAGAAGTCTCTGTCGAGACTGTAGCTCTACTGGTTTGTACTTATCAAAAGCCATTGCACTATTTTATGTATCTTTGTGTAGTCTACTTGTGTGCTGACTTATTTTGAAATCAAACTAAAACTGTAGAAGGAGTAGCGTTTTAAAGAAATTTCACAGAAAATTCTATTTTTAGTAACCATGGTAACACCGTTCATCGAAATCAAAAACCGATGCACTATTCTATGTATCTTAGTGTAGTCTACTTGTGTGCTAACTTGTTTTGAAATCAGACCAAAACTGTAGAAGGAGTAGCATTTTAAAGGAATTTCACAGAAAATTCTATTTTTAGTAACCATGGCAACACCGTTCATCGAAATCAAAAACCGATGCACTATTCTATGTATCTTAGTGTAGTCTACTTGTGTGCCAAGTTATATTGAAATCAGACCAAAACTGTAGAAGGAATAGCGTTTCTAAGGAATTTCACAGAAAATTCTATTTTTAGTAACCATGGCAACACTGGTCATCGAAATTAAAAACCGAAGCACTATTCTATGTATCTTAGTGTAGTCTACTTGTGTGCCAAGTTATATTGAAATCAGACCAAAACTGTAGAAGGAGTAACGTTTTGAAGGAATTTCACAGAAAATTCTATTTTTAGTAACCATGGCAACACCGTTCATCGAAATTAAAAACCGATGCACTTTTCTATGTATCTTAGTTTAGTCTACTTGTGTGCCAAGTTATATTGAAATCAGACCAAAACTGTAGAAGGAGTAGCGTTTTTAAGGAATTTCACAGAAAATTCTATTTTTAGTAACCATGGCAATACCGTTCATCGAAATTAAAAACCGATGCACTATTCTATGTATCTTAGTGTAGTCTACTTGTGCGCCAAGTAATATTGAAATCAGACTAAAATTGTAGGAGGAGTAGCGTTTTGAAAAATTGTTTACAGACAGACGGACGGACGCCGGACGCATTACTATTGCATAAGCTCTTCTGGTCTCTGACCAGTAGAGCTAAAAAACTTGCACCATTGTCAAAAGAAGTTTATAAATGATATTTGTTTGCAAATCTTTTTTGGTTGTCTGTGTCTGCTGAAGTTCTCACCAACCCAGTTAGAGATGAAGGGATACGTTTTACAAAAGAACTTTCAACTATTAAAGTTTAAAACTTTAGCCTGTTAAGGTGATTGCAAAATCTTGCACTTATTGATTTTATTTCCAATTGCCTGCATAAATACATATTTGTAAATTCTTTTTAAAAATACTAAAACCTTTTCTCATTTACAGAAAAAAGAAAGTTATTTGCATAACATTTTGGTCTTTAATAGTTAGAAGTTTTTTTTTATAAAAAGTACTCCATGATGTTATCAGACAACCAAAACCATTTGGAAGTTTTCAATATAGTTATAGTTCATTCAGATACCTAGGGATCATTCAACCATGAATTAATGAGATTATTAAATGAAATTTGTCCTTATAATGTACCAGATAGACAAGCAAAAATACAGCGGGGTAAAGAGAAATGAAGTGATCCATATATTCTTTATTACTTCTGAACGAGACGAGACACAATAATTTAAAAAAATCATAGACAGATTGAAAATCCATTTAATATTGTTGTAACTCTATCATTAAATGATTTGCTTATTATCCACATGTATTTGATAAAACTATCCAATCCATGATGAACATTTATACAATTAAAAAATCGATCTTCACAGATGTAGATATTTATATAAAGCCAAACAAAATATCTTGTATACACTAATTAAATTTCAGGAAAATTCATTAAAAAACAGGTATGTGTACATGTAAGTGTAAATATCATCTGAAGCTCCTGTGTTATTGTATACTTATACTCAAATTAAACACTGCTTTAATAAATAAAAACTTTCATTAACAGACCAATACATTTTTGGATAAATCATAAAAAGAACAGAAAGATTGATCCTTCATATCATACTGGAAAATGTGTATATGGAGAATATGTTAAACAATTCTAAAAAGTTTTGAATTATATTTTGCAATGTCGACCGATTAGTCTAAGATTCACGTTCACTCCTCTTCTGTCATGAAACATCTGTCTTCATTTTCCTCCTCGCTCTCTGATTCATCAATCGGAAGTGCAGCAGCATCATCAACCACACCACACCAATCACGGACACCGCAGGCACCACTTCCCCCATGACGAGCGCAAGCCAAGAACCAAATTACACTGGTAATATGAGCACACATGCCCACAACTCTTGCACCAACTTTACATTTGCAAAACCAGGATTTGATACTGACGTCATCATATCTAATCCAAAGTAAGTATTTCTTTGCTGAAATGTGTCTGCTTTGAATCTTGGCACAGAGGATACCAGCACAATCATCACTGATGAAAATTTCATACTTTCCTTCCATCAAATGCTCGTGTGTATATGACTTTGCCAATCTGATTTGGTAAACACCAAAGGTCAACTGGCGTATTTCCTCCTCTGTCAAACGCAGACTTGTCTACCCTTCCGCTTTTGGCGTAATTCTTCCGCTTTTTACCACTGATATTAATTTTACGTTTTTGCTATTTTGCTTTAAATCCATTATAAACGTTTAAATTAAAGTCAAAGATCAACCTGCTGAAATAAAATGAGAAGTTCTTGTTAAAGTAATTAATAGAGGACCAGTTTGATAACTAACGTTATATACCTTATACTTATATGGAAACCGGTATGGCCAAGATTCGGTATGACTCCTTACTTCGCGACTCTAGATGAGACGCTCTAACCACTGCGCCACGCGGGCGACGAAGAACACGAAATCGCATTGCTTACCTCAACTATTAAATGATATTGCAATAAATATGCCCATTTCTATGCTCAAGTTAGTTCACTTTAACATTGCTTTGAACAAGATAGAGAAATGTGAGTGTTAAAAAGAAAAATAAGTGTTATTTTGTACAATTTGTATAAACATGCAAACGCAAGCCTTCAATTAAGTGATCTGATACACATTGATAAAATGCTTCATTAAGGGTGTGTGGTTAATTTGAGTTTAATATAAGATACTGATATTTTACAACACTTTTTTGCCAATAGATGATTCGAAAAAAAAAATGCCAGGCTTGTTTAGTAATGTACAATTTCGGTGGGTTTGAAAGATAAAAAGTGTAATTGTAAAAACACAAAGTAGGAAAACATGATTAATTACGCTTTTACCTCTGAAATTCCACCAAAAAATTTCTGAAATTACACCCTTGAAACGAACAGGGTAGGCAAGTCTGCAAACGTGGAAAGACTACATCATGGGAGTCAATCTTCTTCCATCTTTTATCCCGTTTCTCTAAACCTACAAATTTTATTTTCAAATTGATGTTCAATTTATTCTTAAAAGATTTTTTTATATTCATATTAGAAAATCTTGATCCATCAATTGTGTGAGAAATAATAATTAAAAATGATGCTCACCACTTGTCTCAACATAATCCTTCAACTCATTCACACCATTTGCAAGAAATCGCATTTTAGCAGCCATGGCAACATCTTCCTCCTCTAAACTTGTTGCAGATTGCACTAACTATGCGGACATAATCTCCAGTATGAGGTATTTGAGTATTTGGGATAGTTCTGCTCAAGTAATTCCATGTCTTGAGCCTGCCATTTACTGACTCGACAACCCATCTGAGCTGTAACATACAATACATACTATGAATTCATCAACCAAATATATCTGCATACTAGTATATACATGCATTTAAGTTCAATTTTCAATATAATACACAAAAGTAAAAGATTGTAACATTCTTATTTTCTGATTCATTTTACTTTGATACATATAATTATATAACATTCTAAGTTAAAAAAATGAAAAGTGTGACCCATAGCAGATTGAATGAAATTTATATATAGCTAGTTTTTTTTTATTTCACAAGTACCTTGGTTACAAATCTGGTTGCATTTGCTTCTTCTGTGGTGTGTTGTTTTGAATGAGAAGTGAGGAAGGATGGCATTTCAACATGTATCCCCAAGTCATCTAGCAAAGCTTCTGCATCTCTGAAACCTCTGTCGACGATAAATATATCATCTTCTTCGACCCATTTCCTCATGTCCTCTACATTGGTTTGAATCATGTGAGTTAATATCTTTGCATCAGAATTTTTGGAATCTGCCAGATAAGGACCTAAAACAGAAATTATATATCCAGTAGTAGAGACAATGGTCATAGGTTTTACTAGAGGTCGGTGTTTATGGATGCTGTAGGAACGACGTGAGAAAGAAAAGTTTCCACTTTTTTGTAGATATACATATGTCCCATCAAGAACAAGACTGGCTGGGTTTTCTGTCATGCTGCAAAGGAGTTCCTTGGCAAGGGGACGAGTGTGGTGATTTATGACATCCTCCCTTGATATATGAGAGAATCCTAAATAGTTTGGCACAAAATCAACCATCAACGCACTTTTTGCAGATATAACAGCACGTCGAACCTGAAAATAGAAAATCCAGTTTCAATTGATGTACATTCAATCATATATGCATTTTAATTTTACATCATAAAAGGTAAAAGAAATCTTTTAATGAAGTGTGTCACTCAATATAACTTACCTGCCATTTTTTCATGCCAAATAAGGTTCCCAATAGTTGATTACTTAAACCACATCTGAGCTTCGTCAACAATAATGCCACACATGTTCTGGTACTTCTATTCTTGGATGCTCTTAAGTCGGACTCCACCAAATACGTCATCAATTCATCAAACTGATCCTTTGTAATTCCTGTGAGATTGTAGTAATCTTCACTTTCCATTCCATGTGGGTCATCAAAATTCAGACTCTTGTTCTGATTCTGGATTGCTACCTCCCTGGTTTGTCTTAAAACTCCCACAATGGTGGTCCTGTTAACAGTTGAGACTGAACTGGTTTGTTTCAGCAGATGTAATGAATCAGTGTTGAACTCTCCATCAGAAATATGCTTCGGACAGCATC